TTAACAATGTAACTTAACAACGTAATTTAACAATGTAGCTTAACAATGTAATCTAACAATGTAATTTAACAATGTAATTTAACAATCTAACTTAACAACGTAATTTAACAACATAACGTAACATAACAATGTTGCATAATAACGTAACATAAGATCGTAATGCAAGATCATGACGCAAGATTGTAAAGCGACATCACAATGCAACATTGTAACGCAACATCATAACGTAAGGCAACAAAGTTATGTTATTTATAAAGTTAGAATGCTGACCCTTTAATAAAGGTCATCATTGTTTAATATCCAAAACAATAAACATGTATTGTAGCTCTGAGATTGGCGTGCCCGAGCCCTCAGCCCCAAGGACTTGTGTGTAATAAGCCTCGTCTTTATGATGCTGAGGCGGCTCGGTGAGAGGAGACGTCGTTGATGAGGAGTGTGTGTGTGTGTGTGTGTGTGTGTGTGTGTGCGTGCGTGTGTGTGTGACGTGACTGTTCTCCTCTCACCTACACCGCACCGAGGTGATTAGATCTAATGACTACACAATGGACTCATTTTCCCAGAAAGCTCCAGGGTTAACTAAAGGCTTTTTGTAGGTCATGTCTAGTCAAAGTGACGAGTTTGATCTCTTTAATTCAAGGCTGTTTATTAGATGATCTGATTTCAAGTGATTTAACAATATCTCTATGTCTCTCTCTCTCTGTCTCTCCCTCTTTCTCTCTCTTTCTGTCTTCCTTTCTTTGTCCTTTCCTTCTCCCTTCCTGTAGGACTGGTGAGTTCTCCTTGCGTGTCGCTGACCCCCAGCTGTTTTCTCAACCAGAAACCATTCAAGTTCAAGCCGTGTCAATGCAGGTATGTACTGTATAATAACACAGACACTTTCCTCAGCTCACTCTTAATGACACACCTATTTCAACAAAGACTCGAGAGAAACAAACCGTCCTAAACACAACACCCACAGACTGTAAATTATTGCATCATAAGTGTATTCTCCCGGCAGAAAATTGACTGCAAATATAGATATCTCATAAAGATGTCTGCTGTGCAGGTCAATTCAGTAACATTACAGTTAACAGAGAAAGATACTCTGCAAAGGCACATTTGTTTCCAGATTTAGTTTCCTGTGAAACACTATCTGGATCTGTGCTCCGAGGTTACAATGCAAAGTCCATACTTGTGTCCTTGTTGAGAAAGTTTTGCCTCGGAGAGAAAATATAAATTTCAGTTTCTAAAAACCTTATACTGTTGTGCTTTGATGGCACGATGTCTCGTTCTCGCATTGACTATCAAAGTTTCTTATCGTTTGTCAAGTGAGTATCTGATGGATAAATATGACACAGTGAGCAGAAGAGTGTTAGAGGAAAGACACTATCTCACTCTCTACGAGCAAAACCACGAAAACACCATTTAGTGCTGCAGTAGTTACTACTATTTTATCAATATTTGCCCTGTCAGACATCTAACTTAATCTGTATTTGACTTTTTAACAGTTATAATAAGAACAACTAGATCCTGTAGTTTACAACAATATAGCATGCTGAGCTAGCTACATGGTTAGCTTGCTGCCATGATTGTGTAGAACATAGATTCCCTTCCACACACAGTACCAACCCATAGACACAGTCAGCTGAGAACTTCTTATATAGTTTATTCATCCAACAACATAAAGTACAGCAAATAAAAACACAGAAATGTGAGAGAAGCTTTACTGTCGCTGTGGACGGCAAGCGGCACTCAGCCAACAGTTAATCTGGAAAACCTGACAGCTCTTTTTTTTTTGTAGCCGTTTTTGCTGCATCATCCCAGCTGATCTGCAGTCCTCACAGTTTTTTTGGCTCCGTCCTAAAGCACTGATGCCAGGGCCGTGATTGGCCGACGTCGGCCTCGACAGCGGGGCCGTGATTGGTGTTCAGCTGACCTCTGATTTTAGCCCAAATATGGAAAATAATGAGGAAGAAGGGATTAAAGGCTCTCTCTGAGATGATGGGTTAGTGTGACAGCTGTGCTGTGCTGTGTGTGTGTGTGTGTGTGTGCGTGTGTGCGTGTGTGTGTGTGTGCGACACTACAAAGGAGAGAAAGTGACAGACGGTTGATAAATAATAGCAGAACTGAAAGCGTGTGTAACTAATTACAGTAATGATGTAATTACCTGAGTGAAAAATGTCTATTCGGAAAAACAAAATCATCCATATCTGTCACAGGAAGCACCAACCTCCAGGCAAAATATCTTGTTTTAAAAGGAAGCTTTGGTGCAGTTAAGTGTATTAGTATTATAATATACATATAAACGATAAAAAACATAAATAATGTAATTAGTTTTGCAGGTGAGGAAACGTTTGTTGGCTCTGAGGGGCTCCTAGATCTCAGACATTATTACCTGCTGATAAGAGCGGTAACAAACAGATGGAGGCAACTCCTGTGTTCTGTGAGGTCAAATTACAGTTTTCTTTCAATGGAGTCTTGTTGCTTTGAAGAGAGCGTAGATAACAGCTTCAGTTTATTTTGGAAAGGTCTGTCTGACAGCGAGGAAAAGCAGCAAACATGTTCTAAAAGTCCTGAAAGGGATAGACTTTGTTTTTTTTGGTGGACCTTTCTTTTAGGTGGCTAAAATATCTCCATTGTCTCCAAGCTCATTCAATTCACACACATTTATTTTTCAATCATCTGCCTCACAAACATCCATATTACTGGACATGGATCCTGTTTATCTACGTAAGTTATGACGTTGAAAGGGCTCTCATTCGCCTCTCCAGTCTTTGAAATATCCCCCCCCCCCCCCCCCCCCCCCCAACCCCAGATGGCACATGGGTAATTTACAGACATATCCGACAACATACACGAACTGTCTCTCCCTGCTGTTTTTCTGTCTTTGAACTTCTTCGCTCTGACAAAATGCAGCCAGCAACATGTCACAAAGAGGAACATACGCAGCCGGAGTCTCATGCGATCGCTCCTTTCTTCATTCATTCAACATCAAAGAGCAACGGAAACACTGATGTAACCTTCAGTGTTGTTTCCTGTCTCTGGAAATAGAGATCTTGTCAGTATTTGGTTGTAGATTTGCTTTGAAAGAAGCTTCCACGTGTTTAAACCTCATTCTCATTATCAGCAGCACACCGTATTGTCTGTAGATAGTCGCCCCCCGATGGACATTAGAGAGAATGCAGCTTCAGCCTGCCTCCTCCTCGTCTGCCCAAATCACGTAACCTTGCGTTGCAGCTTAATTAACAACATTAATAAGAGGATTTGTATTTTGCTAAATCTCTACAAGAGGACACGTTTCTACTGTTGCAGCCCGACTGAATCCTCCCTAAATGCAAAAGGCATTGCTGGAAAGGTTGACTGAAGCGGGATGGCATTGAGAAGAAGACTATTTGTGATATGCAGCCCCCCACGTATAGAAAAAAAAAGAGAAATAGTTGATTGAAATCCCCGTCAGATCTGCAGCCAGCGGGCACCTCAGAATGTAATAGCCTCAGGAATGAGAGATCTGAGCTGCAGATAGCCAGCCCCCCCCCACACACACTCACCTTTCTGGCAGGAGTGGCTGCTTCCTTTGAAAAAACAAGTTTCCAAGGGTCTGGTATCTTCTAGGGGCATTTCTACAGAGGTGGTCTCACACAGCCCCACATCTTCATCCTAAAGAGGCAACCTTTCTGTTTCTGAGGCTTTGCTCTGCTGATATCATTGCTGTCTTTGCTCTAAGCTGTCAATCGTTACCGGGACACTTTCTAACTTTACGTTGTTGTTGTTGTTGTTGATTAAGGCCCTGTTTACACGTATAGAGATATTTAAAAAACTGATATTTTCTTAAGCGTTTTAAAATAGATTTCTGTCCACACAACCTTGATTTCTCAAAATGTCTCCGTCCACACTGGAACACATAAAACGAGTCCAAACGCTCGTCAACGATACGTCAAATACAAGAGAAGAAGATTCTGAGCATGCTCAGTGAGATCAATTTCCTTTGACGGTGTAAACAAATAGTAATTAACAGTAAAGCATAGCTAATTATTCTTAGCTATGCTTATTAAATGCGGTGCTGTGGCGAAAACAAAAATGGACTCATATGTGAGGAGTAAACTACTAAGTTGAGTTGCTGCTTAGCATCACCTCACAATATAAAGTGATGGAAGCCCATGAATGCTTTCAGTCATCGTGACGTCATTCGTTGGTTTGTGGACTGATGTTATGAAGCCTCATGTTCGGCGATTTTGCCGTTGCCATGTTGTTGTTGTTTTTGCAACCGATGAACAGAAGTGACCACATTAGGACTGAGGAGGAGTGACGTAGAGACACCGTATACGTCTCTAGAGACCTGTCAATCACCGTGTAGCCCCGCCCTAAAGCATCCCCTGCTTTATGGTCTGTTTGACTCTAAATGGACCATAATGTACTAAATGAACATCATGCTGTATTGAAGAAGACTTGAAACTAGAGATTGAGACCATAAACTCATGTTTACAATGTTTACTGAGGTAATGAATCAAGAGAGAAGTAGAGTCATTTTCTCATAGACTTCTATACAACCAGAGGAGTCGCCCCCTGGTGGACACTAGAGAGAATGCTGCTTTAAGACATGAAGCACTGACTTCACTGTCCAGAACCGGAGGTTGCCGCCTGGCTTTACGTGTGCACACAGATAAAAAGTAACCAGAGTTTTAAAAAATCTACACCTTAGAAGGCGTTTTCAAAAATCCTGAAAGGTTTAAGTGACCTAAAGGTCTGTTTGCGTGTGGACGAGAGGCCAAAACAGAGAGGAAAATATCTGTTTAAAGTATATGTGTAGTCAGGGCCTGAGTTCAGAACGGTGTCTAGAAGTAAAAGTTTAAAGTGTGAAGTCCAGAACAAAATTGTGTTGTGTAGTGTTGTGACAGCGAGACACAACAACATGAGAGCTGAGCTGTAGATAAAAGGCCTTGTTACCCACCGAGAGGTCGTACAGGGCATCAACCTGTGAAACACTTCCGCTCTCTGCAATCCGGCACGATCACACCAGGAAGAACAAAACAAAATAAAGAGCCGAACAGAACAACAACCCACGAATCAGCACAAAGAAAACCCACTTCTTTTCTTCCCCATCTTGTTGAAGTGCTGCAGACCCCATGGGTGACGACAGCTTTCTCCCAAACACGAACCTCACCTCTCCCTCACCTGTGAGGGGATGATAAAAGGTCAGCCCTCCTACCTGAGTGGGCCTAGTGTTTGTTTTCGTCTGCCTCGAGCGGGCAGGGGGGGATTTCTCTGGTTGCCTTTAGTGAGCAGGCATATCTTAGCACGATTTCAAACCGGCACACACTCCCACTTTCAGCCTCTGCCAACACATCTGAAACCTTTTTGTTTTCCTCCCTACGACCTGCTGAAGTGACAACACAGGGTTTTACGTGGACGCCCGAGGGCCCGGTCGCCTGTCTCTTGGAGATAATTCCTCTCCGTCTGAAAATGTGTCACCAAACAACCCCAAAAAAATCGGAACAAAAAGGGCAAAGGGCGGCGGCTAACAACATGCCCCCCCCCTCGTGTTTCAGTTCTGTGTCCAGAGGTCACTTTGGTTCGAAGACACATGCACACAGAGAGTGTGTGTGTGTGACTTCCCATATTTCTCTCTCTGGCGCCAGCTTGTTTCATACCCCCTCTCTTTGCTTAAGCTGCTGCTGTAATGGCAGAAAAGAGCTGGAGCTCCACCAGCAGCCGTTGAGTGTAACGAATTGGACCCGAGCCCCTCTGAGCGGCTCGGAGCTCCCCGGCCTGCCGGCGGGTTTGATTTAGGGCCACGGCGAAGCGGCGTCTACCGGCGCCGCCGACGCTGCCAGGCTGCCCCGCTGACAACTTCTGGCAGAGAGTCAGGTTGAAATGAACTGCGTCAGTCTCCTTATTTTTGGTATATATATATATATATTTAATCTTTCTTTGTTGTCTTCTGTGTCAGACACACAGAAGATGCAAATACATTTCTATCCTCAGTACAATCCTTTATTGACTGATTAACATTAACTCTAAACTCACATGGTCATGTATGGGTGAGCAAAGTATCCTCAACGGTTCATATGATATCTTACAGAAAGTTCTTTCGTGATTTTCATTCGTGTTCCCTTCAGCAGCACCAGCGATCAGTGCGCCTGCACAAGCCACTGCAGTGTTCAGACAACTAAACTACATTTTGGGTTTGTGTTAAGTTACAAATAAGTCAACATTGACCTCTGGCTTCACACATGAGCAGCGGCCTCCTTTTTACACCTTGACCATGTCTCTATGTGGACTTTATTCTTTTATTTTAATTTCCCCAAAACTGTGCAAAAAATAGAAAGTACCGTTCACATTAGATCAATACTCGTTACATTGTTTGAACTTGTATTCAGGTAGTGTCTGTACTTGTGCGGATGTGCGTTGGTTGAAACTTCCTACAGACGGCGTCTGTTTACATCTGACCTGATGAATGTTAATCCAATACTCACTGTTCTTTCACCTCTTGTTTGGTTTGTTTGGTCTCCATCAACTCCTGACAAATCTGTCTCTGTAGCTTCCGATTCTTCCACCGTCTTCACAGACTGTCGCTGACTCTGTCCTGCTGTCGTCTGGTGGGTTTATCAGAGCTTGGCCACTGAAAAGTCTGCTTATTACAGCATTAAATTGTTGGTTAATAAGAACCCGAGTGAGTGTACATTCTGTGTAGCTGTAGAGCAAAAGCAACGAGCTAACTGAGGCTAAAGCTACATAGATGTGCAGCGTTGGTGTTGATTCTCAGTGGGACTGAGTTTTAATTATATCAAAAATATAACTTAATAGAGCTCAATCTCTTTTCAACAATGAGTACACGTCTAATCCTACACACACACACTTCATGGTACAAACGGACACATACTGGGTAAAGTCGTACCCTTGCTCACTACAGGAGGCCTCCAGCTCTCCGCGGTGCTCCTTAACTGACTTTGTGAGGTGAAGCTTTCCTTCAGGTACGGCTGAGTGCAGCTTAATCAGGCTGCCCTTCATCCTCTTCATCTCCCCCGGGGAGAAAACTCATCATCTTATCTTAATCAATTTGAGAGAAATTCTCCTCTTGTTCTCTCAGCCACCCTTTAAAATGTTCACGCTGATTCTGAAACTTCGCTCTTTACTGTTAAAACAAAGTGTTGTTTGTGTTTGTGACTTTGTCTCGTCTTTCAGATTATAAACCAAAAGCACGATCTCACTCCCAACCTCTCTCTATTTCAGCCTCCGAGGGTCGTGACTCTCGCTCCTCTCCCCGTGGAGGGCCGCGGCGCCGTGGCCACCATCACCAAGTCGGTCCTGCAGGTGGACGACCCCGACAACCCGGCCAACGTCCTGGTCATGGTCCTGGAACCGCCCCGCCACGGCCGGCTGACACGTCTCAACGGCGACCGGGCCATCGGCCGATTCAAGCTGGAGGAGCTGTCGCGGGAACGGATCCGGTACGTCCACGACGGCTCGGAGGGGACGGAGGACGGGACGGTGCTGCAGGTCAACGACGGCCACAGCTACAGGAACATTCTCCTCCAGGTCCACATCAATCAGAAGGTAGGGAGGTCAGACGGGGGGGTCGATGGTATTAATGATGTTTAGATAGCATGTTTAATTTAGAGTCCTGCTGCTCTCTGGCTCAGCTCAAACATCTCTGCAGAGGAGAGAGACCTGCATCGATCCTCTATTAATACTGGAGGAAGTTCTTTCCTGGAGGTTACACCACTGAGCCAAGCTAGTGTGTTGCACCTCGAAGCTTCACCAGCTGTGTTTCCAGACTGTAGCTCATACACGATCATCGTGGTGGATTGAGCCAAAGTGAAATTTATCAATCTGACAAAGGTGAGACGACAATAAGTGACAAATCTGCTTCATGCTGGATATCTCCAGCACCTGCATTCATTACCTTCCACAGCTTTACTATGAATTGTAAATGTTTTTTAGGGACAGCATAATGAGGCTTTCTTTTTGCATCTCAATGTATTCTGAGCTGCCCTCTGGCAGCAGCAGAAACTTTTATGTGCGGAAGCTTTAAATCCAAATGAAAATACTTTTTTTGTTGTTATAATCAGTTTTAAAACTGACACTCGAGAACTTTATTTCCTCCACAAGTTTACAGTTCAGAAGTTAGGAGGAGAAGGATGTTTAATGGAGACACTTACAAGTGATCAGATTCAAGGCATTTGTGTCTCAGCTGAAAAGCAATTTTTTTTAAAAGTGTTACTTGTAAATATTGGATCTCGTAAAATATTCCTGTTGTTTTGCTACACAGCTGAGTGAAGTTGACATCCACTGTAGTCCTGTAAACCCCTTTAATCGCCTCAACTTTCAGCATTAATTACTCTGATTACTCTCAGTGTGCTCTGTTGCCTTTATCCCTGAAAATAGTTTGCTGGAGTCACGAGCTCACCTTCGTATATTTAAATACTGAAACAGAAAGAGCCGGTCAGCCGGTGTCCGTCCTCTGTCATCGCTTCTGGGGACGTTGTTATGACAAGGACGTAATTATCTGACAACAAGCGCCGCAGCCGCCGCGACCGAAGGGGAGGGGGGGAGGGGGAGTGTGTGTTTGGTATGAGATACATTTGGCAGCTCACTCAGTCACTAAACATGAGCACACACACACACACACACACACACACAGAACTGGAGACAAAGGCAGGACCTGCGTCTCCAGACTTGGTGAAAATTGTATTTACTGTCTTTTTCCACCAGATGTCCACCGAAGGTAAACCTCCACGGCCTTTGTCCACTTGCGTAAAAAGGGCCCATAATGTTCAGTCAAAGCCTAAAAAACAGTCAACTCATTGTTTTCTGTTCTTTATTTTTCTGTATTCAGTCAGAAACCGGGTTATATTAATAACAAGTTAAATCATAAGCTTTGTGAATATTTTTTTTACCTTCAAATGTTTTTTATCTTCAATTTTCCAAGCAGTCAAATCTCAAGTTCATCAACTCTTACACTGTCAATCCAAGTCTAGTCGTTCTTTCTTGAACCGATCTGACTTGTGTCTGAGTTTCAATTTGGTTTCTCGTGTCTAAAGTGGACACACACACACACACACACACACACACACACACACACACACACACACACACATGCTGTATCTGACTCACAAAGACTTTCCCCCAACACTGTTTTAACTGTCTCAGCAGTCCGAGGAACTTCCTGCGCCCAGCTTTGGTTTTAGATTGCATTGGAATAGAAAAGCCTTCACGTGATACTGAACATCCCACCTCGCTGTGCGCCGGTTGGACTTTTGTTCCCGGCGGGAGAGACTTTTTCTTTTCCAGTGATATATTTTTTGCTGCAGGTTTTGGAGGGCAGCTCTGTTTGTCTGGCTGCATACAGATGCTGCGCTTCAGGCTCAACTCCTCTGCTTTTTCTTCTTCTGTAAATCAATAACATCCCACTCACACACACACACACACACACACACACACGCACACACACACACCAGTATCCCTTTACTGTAAAGTGTCCTGATGCTGAATTATGTGGCGCGTTAGACAGAGCAGGATGGAGGGCTGAGAGAATGCGCTTGATTTATATCAGAATCTTCTTGCACTCGTCCCAGCAGTGTCCCCCAATATATTTCTGTTCTGCCTCCAGCTTGATCTGCACGGCTGCATCACCATAGAATAGAGATCAGTGAGGACGTTTAGGGAGAGGAGCACCAGCCACTGCGGGGATATTGTCTTCTCCCAGCACGACAGAAAGGAAGAAGAAGAACAGGCGAGGCTTTGTTTCACTGGCGCGAAGCTGTGCAGATAAAAGAGGACGATTTGCATAACTTCAGCCGGGACAATACACCAACATTCTCTGGTTGTATTTTCATGGAAAACAAATTCTGCTACGAAAAGTTACAAGAGAGCACTCCTCCTACTGCAGAGGAAGCTTCACTCATTCTCTGGTGCTCTTTACTGCCGTACTGCATCACACAGCAGCTGTGTGTGGTAAACATCAGACGTCATCGACAGCAGGATGCTCAGGTTCAAATAGAAGTTAGAAAAACCTCCTGCTGCTGCAACACTGTAGGCCACCTGCTGGGGGGGGGGGGGCTACAAGCTCTCAAACCTGTGAGAAGTGGAAGAGAATCAGGAATTAAGATCAACGCACTAAAACCCTCACAATCTGCATGAAGCTCAATGGAGACTCCGTGAACCCGGACCTCCACAGAGCTCAAGAATAAAACCCTGAGTGATTATCGGCTCCGCCTCGACTTTATCAAAACCCGAGTCAATGAATCTTTAGTTTTCATTGCGGGCTGCTTTCTCTGGCGCTCTTTGTGCCTTCCAAACCCAGCGGTGCCTGTCGATGCCGGGCCGTGGCGCGGACAATAGCATTCCCTGGGAGTTGGATTAGGGCGCTCTAAAGCGGGACACTAATCAGGCCCTTAATGACCCTCTGATGGATGGACTCTCTGAGTCTGAGCCCCCGGAGCTGAGCTGCAGCTCGGCTGAGTAGGAAGCAGGACCCTTGGCTTTCAATTACTGTCTGGAAGGAGAACACTGTGAGCCTCTGCAGAAATGGAAGGAAATATATATATATATATGTATGTATGTATATATATATATATATATATATATATATATATATATATATGTATGTATGTATGTATGTATGTATGTATGTATGTATATATATATATATATATATTGTCAGTCTAATAGCGGCTGTGTTGTCAAGCAGAGTGCTACGAGTTTAGCTCCACTCCCACTGAGCGCTCGCCTTCACCGTTGCTTGGGAATACCATGATTAGTTTTGAGTTTTCTTTCTTTCTTTTCAGCGCTACCCCACATCAACGAGTCTGTGATTACACTTCTGATTGCAGTGATTTGTTTCCGTTAAAGCCGGCGGCCGGAGTCACGCAGCCCCCGATGTTTGCTTTGGCACGCGCTCTGATTTCACACACAGCAACGCCTCGTCGAGATTAAATTAGAATTTGTTGCCGATAAAGATTCAATCTGCATCCTGTGACTTTCTGTTTGACGTGTCCATCAGCTCGGCCCGTTCACCCTCCCCCCCCCTGCTGGAGTTATGGAAGAATGAGAGATGACAATGTCATTGTTATTACAACAGCATGACCGTCCCGGCCGGCAGCTACAGCCCATGTTTTATGGATGATGCCGACTCCATCTCGGCAAAGTCATTTATTTCTGCTTTTGTGGACTGCAGCCAAAAGCTCTCTCTGGCCAGCACCGGCTCTATTTACAGTCCATCTCAGGCCCGCTGGCTCACAGCCCTTTAAAGGTCTCGGATTATTCATCTTTCATGCATTTTTTTATTTTTTATTTAGTACTGCGGCTAAGTAAAAAAAAAAGTTGTTTATTTTCTATGATATATTTTGCAGCATCGGCTGATGGCCTAACAGCCCCTCACCTCCTTATGTAATATGTAACCCAACTCTTTAGTAGATACAGTGATTAAAAATAATATATAAAATATATATTTGTATTGAGGGTGCAAGTGTAATCTGTGGACATGACTGACCAAATCATTTGTGTGATTTTGGTGACCAACCAGCATCCTGGTGCAGCATGAGGTTACATCAGGAAGGATTTATACATAATCATTAATACACAGTCAGCCTTTTCTCCCAAAGATTACGTTCCCATAAAACTAAACTACATTGTGAGTTACGTTTTGAATGAAACGTAGTTTGTTGCAGGTAATGTTTGTCTGTGACGTATCATTCTTCAGTCTTCGTGAAGAGAGGGTTAGATGGGTCAAACTAACAGGACTTTCACCCAGGAGACCGCTGTCCATGTCCTGCGTGAAGCCAAAGGTCAATATGTACTTATTTGTAGCGTAAATAACATCACAAACAAGTCCATTTAATAACCTTTAAATAATAATTCATACTTTCAAGAATATGTTATTTAGCTTTGGCAATAATGTAACCTGAACATTCACCCCAATAAAGCTTATTTAAGCTTTAATAAGCTTTTTAATGAACTTAACCAAGTAGTTATTTTGCTTAGTAATCATTTTTTGTTTTGTTTCAATTTGCAACGTTAACCGCATGTTTAAACAGTTTAAAACTGCAACCGTAATCCGGAAGAAAATACGTTTCAGTGCAGTTTAGTTTTATGGAAACCTCATTTTTGTGAGACAGGGTTGAATTAGTGAGCGAGCGAAGTTAACTTCTCTCATCCAGTTTAGAAGCAGAAGATGGTGTAATGTGTAATGTTTAATGTTTTAAGAGCTGGTTTTAAGCCCAAGTTAAAAGTCTTATAAAAGTCTTAAGACAGGCCTCAAGTCCTTAAAAACAAGTCCACCTCGAGTCACAAAGTCTTCATAAGAACGTCCAGTTCGTTTCCAATTGCAAGTTTTTCACGTTTGTGAATGTCAACCATTGAAATGGTTTATAAGGAGATCTCCCTGTTGCTGTCTGACCCCATTTAACCTCATGAATTTACAGCATTTCAAGTCTCAAGTTAAATCACGTGTCAAACAAGTCATAGAAGTCCAAGTCAGTTGTTCGTCTCTGCTATGTGAAGGAAAGGACGCTTGTAGTTTTGCTTAACGTGAACCAGTCCGATGGTTGTTGATGGAGTTGAGCAACGTGACGTAGCGTTAGCTCTATATCCTCAGCTTTGCAGCAGCACTAAGTAAGATGCCTTAAACCAACGGCTCTCAGACCAATGAGTCATTGAGTTCTGAGTTCATCACCATAAATTCCTCTCTGATATTTGTTTAATTCACCTCAGTTGTCTCTCGACATTCCCCTTCTCTCCAGTTCCAATATCGTCAATATGAAATCACACAAATCCAGTTCCTTGCTCTCTCCCAGAGGTCAAACAGCAGATAAACTTCCACCAGCATTTAATATTCTTTGCACCTGAGTGAAGGAGATTCGACCTTCTCGAAATCTCACTCTGGCGAGAAGAAAACCCCACAACTCATTAGACTTGTGTGTTATTCAAGACAGAAAATTAGAAGAAATAACCAAATGAGGGAGCAGCTGCAGGACAAAGAGTCGGAGGTCTGGGGAAATCAGGAGTATCGGCAAACTTCTAAATCCTCCGACCTCCTTCATTCTGTGGAGTGTGCTGTTTGTGGTGTGAGCGTCCTTTAAGGACCTCGGTGTTCATCAGGAGAGGCTGATAATCTCCTGGATGATGTGGTCCTCTGAGTTAAACGCCTGCCACGCTGACTTATGTGTTTCCTCTGCGGCTCGTCTGCGGTTCTTCGCCTGCTGCTGCTCCGCTGAAATAGTGTGATTTGGATCAGCCGAGCGGCAGGCAGCCGGTCGGCAGGTTGTTATCTGCAAACACAGACTGCCACACACACACACACACACACACTCTCGTTGTCACACACACCTGTGCACACTCTTGTAATCTATTATCGCCCACTGACACAGTGTTTCTGCCATTACGCTGATCTCCTGCAGGGAACTCTGTGTTTGTGCTGTGTCAGCCTGCTCTCCTGAAAATGACAAAGAAACTGTATTGTAAATGACGTTTTAAGGGTATTTTTTAACTGGATCACAGTTGTTTTTGAGATATCACAAATACATTTCTAATCAAAGTGTGTGCAGGGAGAACTTTGGTTCTACCAAACACAGGACTTTCACCCAGGAGACCGCTGTGCATGTCCAGCGTGAAACCAAAAGTCAGCGCTGACTTATTTTAATTTACGTCCGTAACTTATGTCTCATAACAAACATTTTTCTCATAACAAACATCATTTTTTTGCCAAACCAGGATGATTCTTACCAAACATAACACCTGAAAGTAATGAAGAATGCAGTTTAGTTCGATAAGAGACAGGGTTAGTATTTCTCTCTCTTCATATCAGTGATTCGACAGTTCATTGAGTGGCCGTCTTGATAAATTGAACAGGTAGAAAGATAAACAAGTGTCCTGCTGGAGGATAAAACCAGCTGAGGGGATTTGTTTTACAACATGGCAACCCCCAAAGTTGTTCTTATTAATGGTTCATAACTGATGTTCTATGTGTCTAAGATACCCGTAGATATGTTCTATCTCAGGGTATCTTTTTCGGAAGTGGTATCAAAGTTTTTTCCTTTTAAAATAGATTTCTGCAACACTTTTTGGTTCAAGTGTTAATACTAGTGTAATACTAACATCCTTTAGCCAGGAACTGTGATTTAGTGTCACCTCCTGAGGAAAGCAGAGATGTAGGTTCAGCACACTGGAAACAAATACCTGTGAAAATGGCCACACTTTAAAATAAGAATATCGTTGTTTTTCATTTGACATTCTTACTCTCAAGAGTTGACAAGACAATATATGTTTTTATATAAACTAGATGACTTTTAGATCATTTAACTTCATCCAGCTGTAAACTGCGGAGCTTCTGTGTACAGAACAGATATCAGGTTGTTGTTGTAGATGCATAATAAGTGTGTAAGTCTGTTTTTATTGCGGCAGCTGGTTGTCACGGTGCGTGAGAGAGTTTTTCTTCTTACCTGCTCAGATGTCCTCTAGCGACAGCGAGTCCTCCACACGCTGCGAGCTTTCTCTGCAGCTCATCCTGCTCCTTGTTCCTCGGCCTCGGATCAATACAGCGTCACGAAAACAAGTCGGATTCCACAGTTTCGCTGACAGCTCTGAGCCCAGACTGCTACGCTGCTTCTGATCGGCGGAGCTGACTCGAGGGCTCGGCGCTCCGGTGACACTGCGGCTGATTGACAGCTGTTACGACGGGCTCCTGGGACTCACAATCCTGAGGTTACAACAGATGTGGAATTAAAAAACAAGCTGCGCAAACTGTGACAAAAACAAAGTGAAAGTGGCATCAGGCTGCACCTGAGGAGCAAGGACTCTGCTTTTATCTCTCTTCACACCACCGTGGTACCACACACGGGGGGTCTCAGTGTGAGAAACACTCTCAATGTTTAATTCACCACGTTAGAGAGTAAATGTGATTTAAGTAACTCTTGATTATGCGACGGCACCTGCGGCTGATTCGAGCTAACGTCCAGGTCATGAAAGCTTTTATATTCGAATGAAATACCTGGCATCTGTTGAGCTCCTCTCAGGGGAAACACAAACATTTATTTTATTTTTCTGCTTGGATCCATCTTGACAAAGCGTTCTGGTGAAATTCGCAGACAGACGTTGGTTAGAAAAAGGGAAAAGTCGTTTTAAGTTGAGCAGATCTTGCCGTATCCAAACAGAAACCAACCTCACTGTTCTGAGGGTGAACAGCTTTAATGTGTCTGTTTCAGGCCGCGGACTCTCCTCACACGCTGTCTGTGCCGGTGACCTGGGTGAAGGAAGGAGGCATGGTGCGGCTGGATAAAAAATACCTGCAGGCCGACTACAGGGGAGTCAGCAGCGATGACATCGTCTACACCATCGTGGTCTCAGAAGGACAACCTAAATACGGTACGAACTCTCCAACGAATGCTGGTGGGATGTGATTCCGGTCACTATGATTATTATGTGACGTATAACAGCAGTGCATCTCCTCCTCTGTAACCGTCTCAGGTGAGGTGGTGCTGGTGTCCATGCCAGCCGACGGCCCCGCAGAAGGCTGGCGCCCCTCGCTAACCGACGACCGAGGCTTCACGCCCACAACCTCCTTCACCCAGCAGGACGTCAACGACGGCACCGTCTGGTACCGACACTTTGGCGGCGGCAGCGACAGCGACTCCTTCCAGTTCCAGGTCAGCACTGGTTCTCATACAGCGGACGCGTTTCAGACATCCATCATACATCATGTGTCTGATAGTTATGCTTCAGCTTTACTGAGACACAAAGCATGCTTTCCTGCTTCACGTATAGGTTTTCACTCCTTTTCATGAAGAAGAGGGTCAAAGTTCAAGGTGCCATGTTATGACGAACTCCCAATTGAATGCATACTGCATGCAGCAGTACATACTGTGTAAGTGCAGCTGCGGTTTGTACTTAAAGTAAAAAGCGATTTGGAACGCAGCTTGTTGGCTCAACGCAGCCAGTGGAGTCATCGTTGTAGCTGGTTCTTCGTGAGGCGGTATCTGCTCTTGCCTCCAGTGTCTCAGTAGAATCCATCTAGCTGTAAAAGCCAAAAGCTTTTCAAAGGAGTAGAAGTTCAGCAGAGTCTTTGACTGTCTTGTTCAGGGCTATTTGTTTCTACTTTGAATCTGAAAAGTAAACATATGAATTATGGGTTTCCCCCGACAGTGAACCATTATATCAAACGTATTTAAGAGGGAAAACACTGTCGGGATACACGCACCACAAGGTTGTACTACTACTGTACCTATAAATAATCTCAGAAAGAAAATAAATTAGCTGTGAGACGAGGAAGCCCCGGGGGGGCCGATAACAGCGTCTCACCCCCGAAAGTACAAGAGGAGGAGACGGTGACAGAGACGCATGTCGTCGTCCTTGTTGTTTTTTTGTCTCTCTCTGGAGTGTTCTTTGAAGTTCACTCTCTTACTCGTGTTCCCATGTGTTTACCTCTTCCCTCCCTTTCCGATATGTCTCCCTCTGGCCTGATTTATTCCTCCCCTCCTCCTCCTCTTCCTCCTCCATCTCTCCTCTCTGTTTTTTCTGTTATATTTCCGATAACCGTGAAATTGTTTCTATAAAACCGTGCTGTTTATCTGTAAAAGATATCCTTCAGTCTTAGTATTTTATGATATATATTATATATATATTCACTCAGCAGTTGTTTTAATCGCCAACCACTTCACAGTTCACTCTATCATTGCACACGACACTTTGTTTTTATCCTCTCTCTCTTATTTCCCTCCCTGCTCTTCTTAAAGTGTGTTCTCTGTGGATTTCCTCTCCGTCAGTTCAGAGCTTGGCACCAGCCGTCCTGTGCGACTCACTCAAAATCAACCCATAGCGACTTATCTCGATTAGCGCTAATGACCACAAATTACTCGCAAATTGGCCCCAAATCTGAGACAGTTCCAGTAAAACCGACGCAGCGTTCGTCTCTGCTTCACCTCGACTCCGTCAGGCCGCCAGAAGCTTGTAGCTACATCTGATCATCTTCCTTCCTCCGTCCCCACACGCAACGTTCTGGCCCCATCCATCAGGGCAAATGCGTTTCAATTACACAGTGCCGGATTCAAATTAAATTCTCGGGTGTCTCATCATTTTGACAGGAAGTGCAAAAAGCAGGCGAGGAAAAGCAGGAAAGGAAGCCCGCCACAAACCCAACGGCTGGAAGCGTTTGTGCTGTCGGGCGATTAAAGCTGACGGTTTGTCAGCGTGGTGTTTTCGTCCTCCGATGGTTTTTATCGAAGTGTGCGGCGCCTCGTTAGAGCTGATTGATTTGAAACTCATCCTGCTTCTGCAGCTCAACAGAAAGTGGGCTGCACAGCACTCGACACGCACATCTTCTCACGCACCAACATGTCAAATCACAACCGTGTTCAAATCAGACAGATGGGGATCTGGGGTCTTTGAAATTTGGTCTGAAGTGAAAATTTGCCCTTTCAAAAAACAAAATAAATAAATAAAAGTCCTCACAGTTGGCTTGTTTGTATCATGTGGCCTCAGAAATATTACTGAACCTATGCAACAGAGAAAGACACTTGTGCTATGAATTAAAAAGTATAGGTAATTACTTTGTGGACGTTTGTTTCCTGTCGTTCTTTTATTGCCAGGTCTGAAAGGCTTGAAATGGCCCCAAAAGGCCCCAAAAAATGGGGGAAATTTCACCTCAAAATCTAAAACACGCAGCATAAGGCCAGTTCAGAAACTGAATGAGGTTGAGTATTGAATGTGTAGAAAATGTATTGAATTTCTCTTGTCTTTAGTAACACAGCAGTATTACCAAACCTCCCATGTCCCTTTTGTTTTTGCAACACATTTGCTCATAGATACATCACATACTGTATATTCACACATTGAGCTGGAAACTGTTCATTTGCACTTTCCCTGGTGAATAAATATAAATAAATAAATAATGATTTGGAGTTTGTAAAGGCCCCGCCCTCTTTTAAAGTGTATGCACAAGCCACTGGAGCCAAAACATTGTGAAATAAACTCATTAAAATTCACACAAGTGAGAGAATCAGTGTTCAAAGCTGCTCTGTGCAACAAACTGGTAAAGTTTCATTGTAGGACTCGTTGTGAATCAAATGAGGTAAGATATAATGCAAGGTGTTTAGGTTGAATGGAGCCGACTGAATAATCAATAATTTACTTCTGCTGCGACACCGCCTTCAATAAATCCAGCTGACTCAGCGCGCCGGCTCTCGTGTTAACACCATCGCTTGTGATTGGTGGCGCTGACTCCGGGCTTCATGCCGGCCGCTGCATCACTCGTGACTGACGGAGCCGACTACAACCTCTCTAACTTTCTTTGTCCCGTCAAACGCCTCAGAAGTGACGGGAACGAGCAGCGGAGGAAGCGAGAGGAGGAAGGAACTGGTGTGCATCAGGGGGACGACAGCAGTTAAAGCTACTTGTTGTGGAGGGGAAGAGAAACAGAGTAACACGGTGTGAAAGTTAACATACTGTTTACTTTAAGGAGCAGAGTAACACGGTGTGAAAGTTAACATACTGTTTACTTTAAGGAGCAGAGCCAAACACTCAAGAAGCTTCTCTCCAGTCAGGAAGGCAGAGGAGGATTAAACTGGTCCAGCTTTTCCGTCACCTATCAGCGATTCAATTATTAGCATAATCTTACATTCTAATTTTAAATCATCTTCTGCATTATGAGCCAGCTAAAGAACAGAGGTCAGAGGTCAGAGGTCAGAGGCACAGCGCTGGAGAGAAGCTGAAGATGGAAGACCAGCTTTTTCTTCTGTTGCATTTCTTTGACTTATTATTATTCTCATTTGAAAGTGTGGCGTTAGAAAAAGTTGTCATAACTTTCTCAGTTGCGCAAAAAATAAAAGTTTTTACAATTGAGGTGGTTTTTGTTTGATGCACTAGATGGATTATGGAAATGCATTTGCCGAAAACAGTAAACAGTAATTGTAAGTGAATTAACTGTAATATCATATATATATATATATATATAAATAATCTTAAATAAGGTCATCATAAATCATAAGGTGCCCCCTGCATCAATATAATATCATATAATATATATATATATTTGTTTTTATTGAAAAGGATCTGAGATGCAATAAAAACAATTGTTTCTTCACAAAATGTTTGAATGATTCCAGCATGTTTTTGTGCCATTTTAAGAGTTGTAATCATATTTTGATGATTATCAGGATAGTATCCAGGATATTAATCATATTGTCCCTCGTCTGCTCCGAGGTATTTGAAACTGAGCAGCTTCTCCACGCGCTTTGTTATCATGGATGTGAGGGCGGCAGTGGTTGAGATCTGTAGGCCGGGTTTCTTTGGGGGGTACGGGGATTATGGTGGCAGTCTTCAGTCTGGTAGGATCTACAGAAGAGTGAGTGATGCTCTGGGGCTTCAGAGGGAACCCTGAGGGAACCCTGAGGCTCTCTCTTTGTGCCCTTTTATTCACTTTACATTTAGAAAGAAATTTTTATGGATTCAACAAAGTGATTTAAAAGTAATCAGGGGTGTAATTGTCTTCAGTAAGAGAAATAACTGCCCTAACACTGGACACAGATCAGCACTTAAACATGGTCAGCAGGGCAATGAGGTCATCTCGCTGAGTTTTACTCTCATCGTCTCCTTTACTGATGTTCGTGCGGTTTCCATTGTGATTTATGGGCAGAAAGCGATTCGGCGTCTTCGTCCCTGCAGCTGATGCCGGGTTCTCTCTCACGTTTCATCTGTTGTAGCTCACAGCTGGAGGTCCTCCAGAGCCTGTCACTCAGAAATAATATGTATATATATATATATATATGTACAGTATATATATATATATAATACACAAGCCAGAGAGCTGAGGATAAACACAAACATTTAGTTAGAGGGTGTGCTGCAGATAAAGACTTCAAACTTCAAGATAAGAGAAGTTTAGAGTGAGTAGATAAGGGGAGACAAGTGTTGTACAAGTTTACAATCTGTCTTATAAAGTGTGTTTGTGTGTGTGTGTGTGTGTGTGTGTGTGTGTGTGTGTGTGTGTGTGTGCAGGTTTCCACAGAGGCAGCCGCGATCCTACAGAACGATGCCCAGACCTTCACCATCGGAGTCCTGCCTCAGACCCCAGGATTCCCCCAGCTGGCCCCCGACTGCGACCTGCAGGTCACGGTGAGGGATCACAAAGACGTGTTTAAGGATTCAGACAGGATCAGAACAACAGGTGTTTCAGTTTAACCAGTGGCCGTGTTAACTGGTGACTCTCAGCCGAATGAGTCCGTGGCTGCTTGTTACGTAAATGTTTGTTTACGATAATAAACACAGATATTTAAAACTGGTTGAAGTCTTTTACGAGGACACCTACACGTGCTGCTGAGTCACCAGTTAACACGGTCACCCTTTAAACTGAAACACCAGCAGCATCTACAGCTTCAAGCTGTTAACCGTGTTGACTACCACTGGACTGTGTCTTAAAGCTGAATCAAGTGAAAGCTCTGAGTGTCTTCATGGTGTCTGACGTTCTGTTCATGAACACAGAGAACAGAGTTGATCATCTAGTGACTTGTAGCTCCTGATGTCTCTCTGGTGGAACGTTACACACATACATGTTTATATCTGGACTCTAAATACTGGACCACCAGCTGATGTCTTCTACTCTCTGACAGCACACAGATCTGGAAAGTCAATGTGTTTAAACATTCCCAAATTTTGATTATTACTTCTTCCTCAGTTATAATCACATGTGGTGCATCAGAGTTGGAGGATATAGTAGCTCTTGTTTTACCTCTGTTCTTACGTCAGCGTGTGTGTGTATATCGGTCTGTGTGTGTGCGTGTGTGTGTGTGTGTGTGTGTGTGCGTGTGTGCAGGCTCTGGAGGATCGGGTGACAGAGATAACGCCTACAGCTCTGTCCTTCATCGACTCTGAGACTCCCAGTGACAAACTTATCTACAACATCACCAAACCGCTACCGCAGGGACAAGGTCAGCCTCACACACACACACACACACACACACACACACACAGGCTACATGACACAGGACACGCCCCCTGAGATAACTTCTCAGGATTCACAGACTCAGACTCATGCGGACGCAGACTCTGGCTCCAAATGACGTCAAAAAACGCAAGATGGCCGCTCTCACGTACCCGGGATATTTTGGCTTCACTTTTGTACAGTGGGAGGAAGCAGCGACGTGTCGTCCATTTATATATAAAGTCTATGACACCAACGTATCCTCGGACAAAAGTTTGTATGATATCTAACGAAAAAGTCACTGCTCAGTTTCCACGGTTTTCCTACGAAAGTCCAGCAACACATGAATACAGTCTTTTCAAAATAAACTTCCGTCTTCACAGGAAACAACTGAGTTAAATTTAGGCAACAAAACTACTGAGTTAGGTTTAGGAAAAGACCCTGGGGGTTACTTAAGTACGGACGTTACTTGACAAATAAATCAGCATTAAGTTCTTGTCTCACACGAGGCTCAGACTTCAGTCTACTGGTTTTTGTTTCAACGTCCACCTCTCGTACTTTACTTTGAAAGTTTTTGCATCTTTAATACTTCCTGGTTCATGATTATGACGATTACATATAAATTAATTTTGTGGGATATCTTCAAATTACAGCGCATTCATTTTTCGTAGAAATTGCTACGAACGCTGTATGACACCAGCCTGATGACACATGCACGCACACACACACACGCACGCACACACACACACACCCCCGCGCACACACGCTGAGCCTTTCTTTCCCTCATCATGTGGAAAAGATTAAAAGGATTGAAATCTAAGTTGTGTCAGGGGGGCAGGAGCCTTATAATTAGACACAGTGAGTGAGCTTCTGAGCTGGTGTTTGATTCCTGACTCACGGTTAACATGTTGAGCTACTCTGTTCATCATTCATTATCACTTAAGGGCCCACGAGCAAGGCACTGTGACACACAGCTTCCTGGTGTGAAAGTGGGAAAGAAAAAACGTTTTGCTGGAGTGTTGATTTCCTTTTTCTCTCGTCCTCAGGTGCCATCGAGCATCTGGACCGACCGCACGCTCCGGTGAAACACTTCACTCAGGCCGACGTCAACAACGGCAAGCTCATCTACAGACCACCGCAGGCCCCGTCACACCTGCAGGAGCTCTACCAGTACTCCTTCATCGGTGAGACACACAAGTACACACAGACCAGAGGCTGTTTGAATCAATATTCAATAAGTAATAAATAAATACGGCTGTGAAATATATCCTGAAATGAATATGTAAGGCAATAAATATATAAATAACAAAATATGTAGCCCTTGAAGCTAACGTTAGCTAGCGTACTATTGACGACAGATAACGATCAGAGAACATCTGTGTAGTTTTATCCAGATGTGTGTGATGCATTGAGTCTGGCTCTGGCTTCAGTCAGCTCTTGTCTTGATGATGATTCAGCCATTTTTAAATGATTTCATCATGAGAAACTGGCTTTGATCATTTAACACTCAGCCCAAAGTTTGGATTAACTTCTTCAGGTCAACGCTAATCGTACAACTTTGGCTCATATACTGCAAACTATCACCTCAGCTCATGTGATGAATATTTAAACAGGAAGAGTGAGAATTTAACTGTTTTTCAAAGTAAATCGTTTATTTAAACGCAACCCAATAATCCGAGATCAAAGATGACTTTAGTTCCTGTTAATCTGAGTGTGTGGAGCTCCAGAGGGAAAGCTTTGCATCAGTAACTCCTCCACATCGCCTCCTGACTTTAATGCGTCATCCTGTTCACTTTTTATGTTTCCTGTCAGCTCTGCCTCAATCCTCTGTTTTTACTTTTATCACCTCACAGCGCTAAAAGATCTCGTTTTTTTTTACCCTAACAGGTCTACCGGAGTCGCTGAGCGTCTATTTCACAGGTGAGTACTTCATCTTTCTCAGTTTAGAGAGGAGGAGGAGGAGGCAATTAGTTTCCTCTCTCCTTTTTTTTTCTTCTCCTCTTTTCCACACTAAATCCTCTTCATCCTCAGTCGTCTCCTCCTCCCTTCTCCCTCTTGATATCTCTCTGACCAAAATGTCTCTCTCCTCAATCTCCTCTTCGTCTCTCCCCTCTCCCCTCTCCCCTCTCTTCAATCTCTGTTGTGTTTTCATCTTTCTTGTTATGACATTCTTCCTCTCCTCTCGCTGTTCGTCTCTGACCTCATTTTCTCCTCTCTTCCCTCCTCTCTGCACTTCCCACCTTTTGATTTCGTCTTTGTCTCGTCTGCTCTCCTCCCTTGATCTCTCCTCCTCTGTTTCCTTTCCTTTTAATCTTCACTATGAATGTCCTTTCTCTCTCCTCCCCTTGGGCTATCTTTTCCCTCTCTCTTCCTCTTCTTCCTGTTGTTTACGGGCATTCGGAGAGTGCTTTTCACTTTACTGTAGGCCTTGAGCCACACACACACACTCACACTCCATCCATCCTGCTGCTTTAAAGGGAAACTAAGTAAAAGATGGCTTTTGTTGAAAACTGTTGTTGTAGAAAGTGCAACAAGTTATCGCCAGTCAATTACTGCATTTATCCAAGTCCTTCTGAGGTACTTGTACTTAACTTGAGTATCTCACATTTCTATCCACTACATCTCACATTTCTATCCACTACATC